TTCAATGTAGTATTTATACACTGTATAGATATCAAAATTACCATCTGTATAATACAGATAAATATCTTGGTATCAAATTATAGTGTATAATTATTATACACATACATTTGATACCAAGATATTTATTAAATATTTAACTATTATACTAAAATAGTTAAATATTTAATGTCAATTGTGAACACGTTTAGTTTTATATTTCAGACACATAATAATGCAGAGCTTTATCTGGTCATTGTATAAAATAAATGATGCAAGTGATGTGTATGCAAACTGTAATATCTGTAAAAAAATTATTAAACGTGGAACTATGGAGGCTGGGCAAAAATGTTTTAGTACAACACCTCTGCATAACCACATCAAAATAAATCATCCAAAAGAATATCATATAGAACGAAATAAAAATGAACAGAAAAGAAAAGCTCAGGCTGTCAATAAAATCACACCAGAATTTTTTCAACTAGTACTACAGTAAAAAAAGAGACTGTTTTGGAAACTTCTAAACAAACTTCAATAGATGTATATTTAAAGTCACAAAAGGTATGGAGCATTAATGACTCTAGGTCGCAAACTATTCATCATAAAATTGGGTTGATGATGGCCTTAGACAACCAGCCATTTACTTTAGTTGAAGATACAGGTTTTAATAACTTAATGAACCATTTAGAACCCAGATATTGCATGCCAAGTAGAAATTTTTTTTCTAAAACAATAATACCTCAACTTTACATGGAGTTAAATAATAAAATTTCTGATAAATTAATAAAAACAGATTATATAAGCTTTTCTTCAAATATATGAACATGCCCAATTTCTCATGAATCATTTATTTCATTGTCTAGCCACTCCATCAATAAAGATTTTAACAGATTTGATGTGGTATTACATGCTTCTCATTTTCCTGAAAGCCATACTGGAATAAACATATCCAAAAAGTTGGAAAGTATGTGAGATAGCTGGAAAATTCAAACTGAAAGACGACATATTCTTGTAAGAGATGGTGCAAGCAACATGATAAGTGGGAGTAATCTAGCTGAAATTCTTGCAATCCATTGTACTATTCATTTACTTCAATTAGTTGCTTCAGATTCAATAAGTGAAAATATTGGAATTGATGTTCTTTCAAAATGTCGCCAACTTGTAACTCATTTTAACCATTCATGTCTAGCATGTAAAAACTTTAAACAAATTCAGCTGCAACAAAATCTCGACCCTCTTTGTCTTGTTAAAGATGTCCCAACAAGATGGAACAGCACTTATCTTATGCTTGATAGATTAAACAAGTTAAAAATTCCAGTTCAACTATACTTAGCAGAACGTTCTGATTTAATGCCCTTTTCTACATTAGAATGGACATTAATATTAAACATTATTAAACTGTTAAAGCCTTTTTTCCAATTAACTCAGGAAATGAGTTCAGAAATAACAACTTTGTCTTCTGTAAATCCAAATATGTGCTCATTGAAGAAATTTATGTCAAAAAAGAAACAAAGAATTGGCTTACAACTTCTTTAAAAAATCGATTTTTTTCTGAAATAAATGCGAAGTCTTTAAACATTTTGAAAAATAGGTACTATGTCATAGCTACTTCAATTGATCCAAGATATAAGTTTTCTTTCTTTGAGGATGATATCAAAAAATAGGCTAAGTACTGGTTAATAAATGAAATTTTATCCTTTGAAAAAACTCTTGTTTGTTCTGAAGAAGTAGATTTTAGTGTAAATGAAGAACCATCACAATTAAATTTTTCAATTAATACTGAAAAAGAAGACACTCTTGAAGCATGTTTCAAAGAAATTATAAATGCAACATTTGAAAAAATATTATTTTTTAAAAAATTAAAGTTAGAGAAAAAATCAAATGAGATTTCGATTAGAAAAGAAATAAAAAAGTTTTATTCTGAACCACTTGTAGACAGAAAACTGTCCAATAAAGACCTGGATGCAAGAAGAACGATTCCCTCTTTTAAAAACAATTGCTTCAAAACATCTATGCACTCCTGCATCATCCATATTTTCTGAAAGATTGTTCTCAGAATATGGTAATATCTATGAGAAAAAGAGATCTAGGTTATTGCCTAAAACAGGAGAAATGCTTTTGTTTATTCACCATAATAGGAGGAAAATAGAATGACTCTTTGCATTTACTCATTTGTTAAAATTTTATTTGTTATGTTCTTTGATAGTATTATTAACTTTCTAAAACATTTTGTTTCATTGAATTTAATAATTTGATTTAAGAGGCATTGATAAAGTATGTATGCAGGTATGGGAGGCGACATTATCTAAAAATGTTTAAATATTATCTAAAAGTGTACAAGTGTGTATAAGGGGTAGGGACAAGAGGGCAAATATGCAAAGTAAGGGCAAGGTCCAGGCAGCAAATATGTACATGGTTGGGCCATCTTTTTCATGAATTTTACTCCAAAATTTTTTTCAAAATTTTTATTTTAAACAAAGACAATTTATTGAGTGAAAAAATCTATAACAAAATATCAAAAAAGAAAAAAAAAAAAGTTTATGATGAAATTTCAAAAAAATATAATAAAAGCAAAAAAAAAATTTAAACATTAAAAAAAAAATTTTTTTTGATTATTTTGATAAAAATTTTTTTTGCAAAACAAATTCTCAATTTCGATCATTTTAAATCTTAAAAAAATTGTTGGAAAGTTATGACTGTGTTTTTACCCCTCTCCAAATTGAAGGGGTAATAAATTAAACATGGTCATAACTTTGGAACATAAATTAATTGATGAAATTTAAAACCTATTGATGAATTTAGCTAGAGTATTAGATAGTGTAATGAAATAACTAAATGATTTCCCTTGCATTTGGGATAAGTGGTTGAGAAAATAACCTCTAAGGTTATTTTTGTTCCCAAGCTCTAATTACCATGATTTTTTGATGCAAAACACTTTCATTCTATGGAAGCATAAAAAACTTAAGTTTAGAGTTTGCACAAAGCTTGATAATGTCATATCTGAGACTTTTAAAAACATCATGTTAGAGCCCATTTAGCAGCGTGTCGGTAAACCATTTTGATTTAGAGTTCTCAAAATTAAATTTCTACTTAAAAGATAAATTACCCTCCCCTAAAAAAATGTATTTATTAAATAATTCTTAATAGTTTTTCAAACATCTTTGTGCTCTGGGAAGTTTAAATTGAAGATAGGCTTGTGACCATTAATTGATCATAAGTGATCGTAAGATTGTGATCATTAAGTGATACGTAATTACAATAGCGATCATTAAAACATTTAACGTTCGCTGTTCGGAATCAAATTTTTAGTTGAAGACTTGTTCAAACGCCCTTCATAATAACACCAGAACTTAACAGCATAAAGTATTATCCGGTAAATACCGGATACCGGATAGTAAATTATCAGGTATTTTTAACCGGATATCCGGTCGGATATCGTATTCGGTACACCTCTAGTCTACTTCCACATTATATCTATAGTGCAAAAGGGGACTCCATTAACTATAAATAATGTTAATTAATTAAACTAAATTAAAAACATGTTCAGAATATTTTTGACTAAAATAAAATTACTATAAAAATTATGACAATTGAGTTATTCAAAGTTAAGACAACATGAATGTTGCAAACTAGTTTTTTATACTCACATGTTCAACATGTCACTTTAAAAACTAGTTTGCACAAGTTTACAACATGTAATCAACAAGCTTGCAACATGATGTTGCAATCTTGTAAATTATTGCCAATCAGGATGACTATGAACACTTTTTATACATTTTTGCATCATAGAAGAAAACTGTTAGCGTAATCACTACTTTTTTTTAACAAAACATTATACTGTCCAGCTTCCTTGAAAAGTTATAGGCCTGATCAACATTATGCAGTAATTACCTTGCAGTAAAGGCCTTCTAGTGACGCTCTTAAATGTGCAATAACTAGTAAAATAGAAAGTAAAAAATAAATAGAAAATTATCCTAAAGAACATATACTTTTTTACCAAAATGATATAAATTTTAAATACTTTTTATACACATAGATTTTATAAAATTGTATTTCCTATATAAAAGCAAAACATCGAGGCACATGGAATTGCTCTTTTATTAACTTTTGGTAATTTTTTAAAATCGGCTAGCGCAATTTTAAAAAATATTTGTTTTTTGTACCTTCTTCATTAGAATTTATTTAGAAGAAAAAAGATTTGTTGCAATTTAAAAACATGCTTGAAATTTTTTGGCAAACTTTAAAAAGTGCCAGCCGTAGTATTGGCATGTGTGTGGGCGAGCGCAAAAGCTCTCGTCAAACGGAGACTGATAGTTTTAATTTTGACTTGTTTAATTTTAACTTAAATTTTAAAACACAATAATTTTCAAGCAAATCAACATAGCAATTTTATAATTCTTTATTAACTTCTTTTTTTCTTCTTCTTCTTTAAATTCACTTCCCAAAGCTATGTTAAACTTCCCCAAAGAACTGTAACAAGACTCCTGTGTGGAGTAAGGTTAAATGCAGTACTTCCAATGGTTAGGGTTGATTAAAACCTCAAACTTTTAGATTGTGAGCCAAGGGTTCTACCATTAGTTTATTAATGCATACTCTCTAAAAAAAAATTCTTTTTTAGTTTCTTCTTCATCTTCATTTGCCTTTTCTTCTTTTTTGGTCTCTTCTTTATCACTCTTTTATTCTTCATTGCCTTCTTTTTTTTCAACTTGTTTATTTTTGTGATAAAGCATGTAATATGAAAATAATATACTATTTATTATTAAAAACAATTAATGTATATTTTATATGAATTATAAACATTAATTTTTCTGAAAAAAAAATCTGCATGCTTGTAGCTAAAAAATTATCATAAAGCATGAATATATGCAGCTGAATTTTTTAATAAAAAAACTTTGATGGAAAAATTGAAAAGCAATTAAGAGTCAGAAAAAATATATATGTAAAATGCAATAATTTTTATAGATTTTCTAAAAGTAATTATAACAAAAACCAGCTAAGAACAATTAAAAATAAAAAATTAGGACCTTCTTTCCTGACATCACTAACATTTGTATCAGTAGATGTAGCAGGTGTATCAGCAGTGTTAACTGGGTTATCATCTGAAATGTGAACAACTTCTAAAAAATAATAATGAAAATTATTACTAATAAATTTATTGATATATATAACTTTTTTTTAATTTTTGTAACTATTATTGTAAATTGTTAAAATTAAATTGCTACCTTCATTTTGATATTTTTCCTAAAAAATAAAGTTTTCTTGCATAAAAAAAAATTATGATAAAAATTATTTACATTTAAATAAAATTAATACTGTTAAAAAGGTATACAATTAATATTGTTAAAACAGTTTTATTAAATGTAAAATATAAAAACTGTGAAAAAGTAAAAAAAAAAAAAGAACAAAAAAATATAATTTTTGTAATTATTATATTTCATTTATAATTAATAATCTATAAATTTTTTCAGGATTTAATTAAATGTAAACCATTTTCTATTTTACTTTAGTCATTTACTTAGCTTTTACTTTCTGACTTTTGATGATGATGATAATGATGATGATATTGATGATGTACTGATGATGATGATGATGATTATGATGATGATGATGATGATGATGATGATGATGATGATGATGATGATGATGATGATGATGATGATGATGATGATGATGATGATGATGATGATGATTGAAATTGTAATTAGGAAAACAAATTGATTTTAAAATAAAAGTCAACAACTACCTAACACATTCATTTACAATAATTCAGTAATAAAAAGGGGGAAAACCTGATTGATGACTGCAGATCTATGTCTTCCCCCCTCCTCCAACCCACTTCTCAAGTTTTTTGAAATAACAAATAAAACTCTAACAACACCTCAAATACTATCAATTTAAACAACAAATAACTTACTTGTTTGTGACTGAAACTTGAATCATTCAATTTTAAAACTGTATCTTCTGGTAAAGATTTAGAAAGAACATCAGCAGGTGAAGATCCATAGAGAGAATCAAAAAGAGTTTTTGAATAAGGCAGTTTTGCTTCTACATTTTTACGAAATTCATCATTATATTTAGCATAAAGTGCTGAACCGCCAAACCCCAGAACGCCTAACGACAGTAAGGAAGTTCCAATAACAGAAACAGTTGAAGATTTTCTACTACTAAAAATATTGTGTACTATTAAAAATATTTTGTCTCCGCTTGAAAATACCCCTGAACTAAAACCAAACTTTAAATAGTAAAATGGAATAAAATAAAATTTTAAATACCTTTTTCAACCGTTTTTAGAAAAAAAATTTAAAATAAAGTATAGAAGTGGTAAAGTAAAATAGAAAAAATAAAAAACACAAATACTAATAATAACCTTGAAGAAATACTGTTAAAACAAACTTGTGTGTTTGGTACATTTGGCACTTGCTAAATAAATAAATTGTAAATTATAAATCAAGTCAAACTATTTTAAAAATCAATATATAAAATTTATACCCAAAAATAGATATTTCTTTTAGTATTTTTGAACTTAAATGTTGTTGATAACATAGCAGTGTTCTTAAATTATGATAAATGACTGTTAAAAATGGAAATGTAACTGTAAAATGTAACTGTGTTCTTTTTGTTCTCAGATCATCTTAGGTAAATTATTAGAATATATTATAAATACATTGTTGCGACCTTTTAATTTTTTTGTTTTATAGATTTTTTTATCTTAACAAAATATAATTTAAAAATTAAAACATACATGCAACGAATCTAACTTATTTATCTAAAATGCTAATTCCTATAACTTTCATTCATTTGTTCATTTTTTATTCAACTTAAATAGCAAATAGAAACGAATTTAAACTTTATTGATATTTTTTAGATAAATTTAAATTTTTTTTTTAATATATATAAAACCACTATTAAGTTATGAGTTACTTTAAAATAGATAAAAATAGAATGAAATACTAAGACTTGATAAGTTGTAGGTTGTATATAAACGAAAAACATGAAGATGGCAAGTAGTTATAGGGTTTTTTTAATGAGCAAGGAAAAAAACTGGATTGATAAAAGTTTTTATAGCATGAAAGGACAGATACAGTAAAAGTATGCAACTTGTTGAATAAGAAATAAGTAATGAGTTTTGGTTTATCGTAATAGAGTTGATAGCTTGTTTGAGCATTGACCATGATTGTGTTTGTAGAAAAAAGGTCTAATTTATTATTGTTATTATTTTAATGTTAGTTTACCTCCCCAGGGCTGAAAACACCACTACAGACAAGGAGGCTACTTAATTGTGTTTATAACCCTTTCTCAACTATATAACTTTAAATCACAAACCTTGTCAAACAAGGCGCTGTGCAGAGAGACAAGTTGAGTGCACTATTACCAGAGACATGGAGGGGATTAAACTTGGTACCTTTCGCTTATTGCGCAAATGCTCTACCGCTACACCACAACCGCATTACAATTACAATGTGTTTTAAGACTTTGTCTAAGATTAAGAGATTTGTTATTCATTAATATAAGAATACCAACATTGTATTATTTTTTTGCAGTTAATGTGCTTTGTTTTCTAACAAAAATTGCAGATTTTAAGTCCAGAATTTAAATCCATAATCCACAGCAAGCCTTAGGCTGTTACAGAAGAGAGATTAAAAATCAGCTGCTTGTTCTAAGCAATCAAAAAGTGAAGATTTTTTGAAAAGACAAGAGTATAAAGTCGAGTCGTCAACAAAGAAACACTTTAGATGTTAAATTTTCATGAAGATTGATATTGTAGATAAGAAACAATACAGGAACAAAGATTTAAGAGTACCACAAGATACCTTTTGGTACCCTTAAAGTTACTTGAAATAAAGAAGAGTGTATGCCTTCAAAAATAACTTTGTTACTGCAGCTAGTAAGAAATAATTTAATAATCTCAAAACCTTTATATAAAGAAACTAAAAACAGAGTGACTAATCGCAGAGTAGTAGGAGAGGTCAAAGTGTTATCTAGAGCTTTGAAAAATTGGAACCACTTATTTAGCACTTTTTAAAAATTAAATATTATTAAATATCATATAATAAAATTAAATGTTAGACTTACTTTAGTTGTTGAAAACTAACCAAAAGTCTCTAGAACCTAACATCTGATATAAGATAAAAGATTTAGTAAACTGAGAATGACAGAGCTTAACATTAGATGGGACCTTTTTTACATTGGCTTCTTGCAATAATAAAAGGACATTTGTTCTTAAGAGAGATAATCTTGTAAAAAAGATGAAATAAATGATTAATAAAGCAACTGCTCAAGTTGGTGAAAAACATGGAGTAGAATGAGGTTTCACTTGAAATTGAAGAGTAGGAATGAAAGCTTCTAAAATTTTTAGTCCAAATTAAAAGAACTGTTAAGACTGTTAATATCAATATATTGCTACAGATCAATCAGTAAAAAATTAGATTCTGGTAAAATCTTTGAAAAGTTTGTCAAGAAAAAAACTACATTTATATGTAATCAACATATATCTAATCAACATCAACTATATCAACAATACATAAAAATTGAAAAATTAAAAAACTCTGACCCAAAAAACCTTTGGAATGTTTTTAAGTGTATAAAAAAGAGTTCAAATCCAAAACTTTTTACTATAAACAATAAAAAAGATAAAGAATCGATCACCGCAGAATTTGTTACCATATTTGAAAAACAATTAAACACTGAAAAATTAAATCTGTTTTCTACTTATCGTCAAATTCCACCTTGTGAAAATCCTGATAAAATAGTTATTACTGATGAAAATATAAAAGTCGCTATATCTTGCCTAAAATTAAATAAATGCAAAGATAATTTCAATATATCTGCAGAACATTTAAAATATGCCCAATGTGATGCACTAACACAATGGATAAGAAAATTCTTTCACTTGCCAATTAATCATGAATGGACCCCAACATCTATGTCAAGGTCAACTATTATACCGCTAGTAAAATCGTATAAAAAATCACTTACAAACCCAAATAACTACCGAGGTATCAGTATTATTCCAATATTTACAAAACTTTTAGAATACCTTATCTTACTCATCAGTCCTGACATAAAAGAAACACATCCCCTTCAATTTGGTTTTGACAATATAAGTGTTCGATCTTGCATGCTGAATTTGTTATAAGTGAAACAATTTAATATTACATAAACCACAATTCACCAATTATTTTATGTTCGCTAGATGCTGAAAAAGCTTTTGACAGCTGCAACTTGAACATTCTTTTTGATAAATTTTATTTTGATAAAAACTTACCTCTCCAAATAGTTAACACTATATCCTCTTTATACCACAACAGTAGTGCAACTGTCTCTTACCTAGGCTCCAAATCAGTTTCATTTGCTCTTAAGCAAGGAGTGAGACAAGGATCGAATCTGTCTCCTTACCTGTATAACGTATACACCGAAAAGTTACTCGAAATTATAAAAAATGAAAACGTTGTCAGTACCTCTATACATGGAAACTTTACAGGTTCTTTTGCTTATGCTGATGACATCATTCTTCTTAGCTCTACTTTATCTGGTCTTGAAAGGATGATTAATACGTGTAATACAATAACTTAAACAGCATAAAGCTTAATGATGTCAAAATGAAACTACTGCTTTCTGGAAAAAGACAATTAACTAATTACAAAATAACCATAGACGATCAAATAGTTGCAAGATAACCATAGACCATCAAATAATTGCAAATGAAAAACTTAACCATCTTGGCTTTACTTGAGATACACAAAAATCTTTATTTGCCTCAATCAATAGAACAAATATTAACAATAGGATATGAAATTTTCAAACAGCAGTGCAAACTCTGATTCAATCTGGTATCTGGTTTGTACATCCATCTTTGATTATCCAATTATATACATCTTTAGCAGTTCCGACGTATGGTCTGGAACTATGCAAAAATAGAGAGTTAACAATGCAAAGAGATAAATAAACTTGGAAGAAATGCAGTTAAGCCATTTTTCAATGTCTCCAAGTATAACAAAAACTATATAAATTCTCTATTTAAAGTTCGTGATATATCAAGTTACATACAACAAAATAAAATAAACATACTTATTCATCTATTAAATAATAAAGTAACTTTTAAAATTATCAATTCTCAGCTTAATTATTGTTCAGTAAAGTATTCATTTTTAGATGATATAAAGGAGTTATGCAAGATCCATAAACTTAGTATGAAAATCCTAATTCAGGATAAGAAGAAAGTGAAAATTGAAATTTCAGAAAATATAATCCCTGAAGGTACTTATCAAATTCTAGTACAGGCAGTTGAATTAATCTTAGTTCAAAAATACTCTTGAAGAAAACATTGAAAAGTGATTTTTTTTATTTTCTCTTTTTTATATCTATTTTAATCTATTTTTACCTTGCATATTCATAGAGGGTGTTTTAATAAAATGATAATAATAATTTAATTTCTCTAAGTAATAAAATTCTTCAACATTTTTTTTGTCTGCAAAATCTTGAGAAAACATACTTTTAGATTAAAATCACTAAAATATTTGGCATGGTCTCTTACAAGTAACTAGTTTATAAACTTTAAAAGTACTTCTAGCCATTTTCTAAAATTGAAATGCTTTTTTCTAATAAAATTAAAAAATAGTCATGAAGGAAATCAAACTTATTTTGATGACTGTTACTTTTTAGTGTTTTGTACATTAATACAAAATTCTGTTGATAATCTAAAGTCAATCTCAAGTTTGTTTGCAGGTAACTTAAAGCTACTTGCTATAATTGATAAATATATAAACATGTGCTATCAGATACAACATGGTTGCAATTAGATACAGACAAATTATTAGGTGGGTATCAACATAAAAACGTTACCATGACATCAATGACAAAAATCAACATTGGATAGTGTCATAACATAAATAAACAAATAATAAAAGCATATGTGAGTAAACTAATGTGATGCAATCTCAGCCATATTTTACCAAAAATTTAAACAAAAACATAAACCTCAAAAATCAATTAAATTATTTATGCAAAAAAACTTTTTAATATGCTATGCTACATTTTGAAAATTAATTTCATACATAACACCTCAAATGAAATTTGCGATCTTAAAATGAAGTTCGTATTTGAAGGGTGATCTTAATTGATTTTAACTCCAAATATTTTTATAAAAAACTACAAAGATTGCTAACACACTAAAATATAAAACTTTTGAAAAAATTAACTGAAAAAAGAGGGTCGATTATTTTATTTAAATTTTTTTTTTTTTTTTTTAAACATCTTCGCTTCCATTAAGGCTGCAAGCAACCACTATTTAGTGTTGGAAGTTACTGGACGAGAAAAGATGAAGATTGTAGAGCAAGATAACGATTGACAGACAACTTAAAAGATTGCAAATTATATGAATCAGGAAAGCAAGATAAAGGAAGCGAATTCCAAAGAACTGATGTTGGAGGAAAAAAACTAGATGAATAAGAGTTTTTGGAGCACTTAGGAACAGTAACAGAAAAAGGATGAGAATTAATTGAATGACGAGTAACACAAGAATGAATTTTAGTAGATAGCACAAGAGACGATAGCTCTTTAGAGCAGTGCACATTATAGTATTTGTAGAAAAGAGAAAGAGAAGCAACATTACAACAATGTGACAGAGGTTGAAGGTTGGCTGCCAGAGGAGGTCCAACTATGTTTACAATGCGTTTTTGCACCTTGTCTAAAAGAGAAAGGGCATCATTAGAAGATCTGCCCCAGATATGGCAACAGTATTCCATACAAGGCTGGATTTGAGATTTGTAGAGATAGAGAATAGAATCCAGAGTAAGAAAGTGTTGAGCTCGATAAAGAAAAACAACTTTAGCAGATGCTAATTTTGCAACGGATTTGATATAATGTTTCCAAGAAAGATCAGAAAAGTTAATCCTAGAAGATGAAGGGTAGATGACTCATCGAGTACATTACCGTTCATAAATATAGGAAGGTCTAAATTATTGCGATAACAATTGGCTGAAAAAAATTGAGTTTTATCTGAATTAAAGTTCACCAGCCACTGTGAGCCCCATGCTGTAGCGAAATTGAGATTCTTTTCAAGCTCAGATGCCCCTTGCAAGCAATCAGAGGGAGTTGGCTTCTTATCATGACAAGAATAAATGGTAGTATCATCAGCGAACAATGCCACCTTAGATGTGAGAATATCTGGAAGATCGTTAATGTAAATTAAAAAGAGTATAAGGCCAAGGATTGAACCTTGAGGAACCCCTGGAGTTACAGAATAAGAAAAACAGTGCTGTCCATCAAGGACAACTTTTATATTACGATTGGAAAGGAAGGATTCAATAATCTTAAAGATGTTTCCAGATACACTGTAAGAAGAAAGCTTATGGAGAAGACCAGCATGCCAAACTTTATCAAACGCTTTAGAAATGTCAAGAGCGATCGCCTTAACCTATCCACCTTTACCTAATGCGCGATAAAACATATCGGTTATTACTGTTAGGAAATCAGCCGTAGAACGAGAAGATCGAAATCCATATTGATAATCAGAAAGTAGGTTATGAGATTCGAGATAAGAGATTAACTGTTTGTTAATTAAAGATTCAAAAACCTTGAAGAAGACTAATGGGACGGTAGTTAGACGAATCAAATCGCTCTCCAGAATTTAAAAAAATAGGGATAACAGATGCTGCTTTCCAACAGGCTGGAAAACAAGACTCTGATAAGCACTTGTTAAATAGTTTTGAAAGGATAGACGACAGCTCCTTAGAACACTTCTGCAAGACTATAACAGGTATGTTGTCCGGGCCGCAAGCTGTAGAAGAGCCTAAGCAGGAAATTACTTTAGATACAGAAGCTGGAGTGATACGGATGTCGAGCAATGGATCAACTTTTTGATGGCTATATCAGGTAGAACGCAACTAGTGGAATCAAGATATGATATTGATGAAAAGTGTTTGGCTAACAATTCAGCTTTGTCTTTAGGTGAGGTGACCAATTTTTCAGCTGTTGACGGAATCAGCCTCTCTGAGAGCTACCACAGAGTTCAGGAAACCTGACTACCAGCCGGCGTCAGAACCATAAAACTGAGTTTTAGAGCTGTTCCTCTGGAGATAATAGAATGAGTTGCCTAGTCATAAAAACAGACACAAGCAAAACCCATGCATTGAGTCAAGAAAATTCAGCATTCAACATCCTAAACTGGAAACATTGTATTAAAAATACATCTGCGTCAGCCTAATAGATGGAGAAGGGGTGCGAGGCTGGTCAACAGTTAGAATCTGTTTACCCCTTAAGTCTTTGCCTAGGAGACCTTCTACAAGACAGCAGCAGGATGCATTTAACATCTGCCCAAGATAAGTATTTTTATCGAGACTCCATCTGTAGCCTTTACTCAACCAAGAGCCCTAAGGCTCTGCCCTAAGGGGGTGTTTTATGTCGAAGTTTGCATCTCCTAGCCTTTGCCTAAAAAGGCATATCCTACAAGGCAGCAGGACATGAAGCATATTGTACTGGGTTACATGTTACCAGTAGCAGGATAAACCTGACCTGACCCACAACTGATAATAAATTACACAGACACAATTTCTCTAATAACAGAAATGCAAATGAATGGAATTTGCTATCAGATGAAGTAGTCACTTCTAATTTTGCTTAAGCATTTTTTTCATATATTATTTCTTAATAAAAAACACTACACAATCAATAAAATATATCATTAAACTATAACCAGAAAAACAACAATATTTGAAAAAATGATTAAAATTAAAAAATATATGCACAAATAAATTATTCAGTATATACACTAACTATAACTAGTAATTCATTGTAAAAGATGATTATAACATAAAAATATAAATACACAATAGAATGTAAATATAAAAATCTCAAAAGCACAAAAAATTTAAATCAGTAAATACCTGTTTTATACCAGGTTTTGTAAATTTCCTGAGAACTATTATTTGATTTTTAGGTTGACAACTACTTCGGTACATGATATAAGTGATTAAAGGTTCATTGCTTTATTTTAGTACTAAAATATAATTATAAAATCAATGCAAACATAAATATCAATGAATAAATTAAATTGAATTAAATGTTTGGATGGTTAGATGAAAAAATCTATGTTACCCAATATGCCAGTTAGAAAAGAAAATTTAGCTTTATCTAAACATCTTATCTAACATTTAACACAATTCAAGCAAGTGAAACATAATTATGTAAAAAAAGAATAATCATGATTGCAAAATTAACAACTAATTTTTAAAAAGTTATGAAAAAAATGTTAATATGGAAAGTAAATAAGTTTTTAGAAAAATAGTAGATCTAAATGAGGTTGAAAATAATTTTAATAAATTGAAATAAAAAATCTAAAAATTCTCTTTTATTTAATGAGTAAGAAGAATATAATTTAATATAAAATAATTTTTACAAAATGTTTAATTAGTAAGTAATATATATTCTTAATCAAACATCTTTTAGATTTTGACTTTCATCAGATTTTGAAACATTTTTTGAATCTTTCATAGGTCCATATATAAGATTAAAAAAAGTCTCAGAACCAATTATATTCTTTTGAACTCCTTTTCTAAAATCATTGTCAAACTTTGAATAGACAGTGGTGCCTATTAAGAATAACACAAAGCTTGTAGCAGATCCTCCAAGGTAGTATAAGGCAGGAACCAAACCTCGTGAACTAAAATTAAATTGAAAAAATTAAAAATACAAATTATTTTTTCTAATTTTGAGCAATTCCATGACACATGTTAATGCGCTTTTATTTAAAAAAACAAAATTAAGACGGTATTAAGGCTTTTAAAATAAAAAATAAACTTTCTTATATTTCTTTCTAATATTGAAATAGCCTAACTTTATTATAAAAACTAAACTTTTCATAACTTTTAAAAATATTTTTACAGATATAGCTCAAAATACGCACAAAATAAGTCACATCAATTTGTCACGCCGTGACACTCTTAAATGTGCAATAACTAGTAAAATAGAAAAGTAAAAAATAAATAGAAAATTATCTTAAAGAACATATACTTTTTTACCAAAATAATATAAATTTTAAATATTTTTTATACACATAGATTTTATAAAATTGTATTTCCTCTATAAAAGCAAAACATCGAGGCGCATGGAATTGCTCTTTTATCAAATAATAGCAAATAGATAATTTATTTTAAGTAAAAAATTAAAAATTAAAAATACTTTATGTGTTGCTCCCTTTTATTTAGCAATTTAGTAAAAGTGAATGTTCTTCTCTAAAAGTTAAAATATATATATATATATATATATATATATATATATATATATATATATATATATATATATATATATATATATATATATATATATAGTATAATAAAATATTTTTTAATTATATATATATATATATATATATATATATATATATATATATATATATATATATATATATATATATATATATATATATATATATATATATATACATATATATATATATATATATATATATATATATAGTATAATAAAATATTTTTTAATTATATATATATATATATATACATATATATATATATATACATATATATACAGGGTGTTAACCAGGAATTAATTTGATACAGAGTTTTTACGAAATTGGGAATTTGTCAAAATATTGCCTAATTATTTGCCCCCTCATTTAAGATTAAAATATTAATTATATGTTACGGGGATGCATGTGGTCCTTTTCTTTTTTTTTTCTTCTTCAACTCCACTTCAGTACTGCATACATTGACAGGACTGAAAATCAATACAAAATTCAAAGTGTTTCACAACGAAAAGGCATGATTTCTAAAGATATATTAAATATTATACAATTTTATATTATAATTTCATCAGTGTATATTAATTAATTATTATTAAGAATAATACTTTTGATTTATTTGTAATCTTAATTGCCACTTTCATTTTAAAAATATTCTTTTGAATATATACTACTTTTTGACTGCTGGGCCATAAAGGGCGATTTTTAAAGTAATATACCGATTTATGTTCAATGAAAATCTCTGCGAAAGAGAGCCAATGATTTTCTACTTCTCATTATAATATAAATTCTGATTGACATCCTTTTTGGACAAACCCACATATCATCATCTAATAAATTGTGCATTAAAAGAAATGTTTTAAAAATAGAAAAAATTAAAAAGGTTTTAAAAGTAGTAAACATGAGCTCGTAAATTTCATATATCAAATTTTTTGTGAGTTCAATTTTATAAATAATATTAATTTTCTCTATAGATAAATCACTTTGCAAAATACAATTTAAATTAAATTACAATTACAAAGTCTGAGCAAAAACAACAACAAATGTTGTCTAATTACAAAAGAATATTGATCGCAAGCAACTGCACGCTATCATTGCAATGAAGAATACCAATAATCATAGTCATAAAATGTTATTAAGACTATGATTTATTCAAATAATTTAATTTGCTTACACGAATTAAATTCAATCAAGCAGTGAAACTAGTTTTCTTGTTTTTTAAATTTCTAGAAGCAGTTTGTTGTAATAAAAAAAACTTTGTTATCAAACGTATTAAATTTATGATTTAATATATGTTTTTAATTTACAAAAATTGTTTTTTTCACGAAAAAACGTCCATATTTGGCAATATATCTTTCGGGTCTGGGGGGTACTGCCACCCGATTTTTTTCTAGAATAGCCCCTGTATATATGAATAAATAAATATATATATATATATATATATATATATATATATATATATATATATATATATATATATATATATATATATATAGAGAGAGAGAGAGAGAGAGAGAGAGAGAGACGAAAATAGGTTCCAGATATCGTTATTGTTTAAATCATTCTATATACATTTAATATACTGAAACACTAAACTAAACTTAGAGCTGTTGTCTATACTTTCAAAACTATTTAACAAGTGCTTATCAGAGTTTTGTTTTCCAGCCAGCTGGAGAGCTGCTTCTGTTATCCTTACTTTCAAAAATTTTGGAAAGCGCTCTGACTTGTTTAACTACCAACTCATTAGTCTTCTTCCTATCATAACCGAAGTTTTTAAGTCTTTAATTAATAAACACTTATTTTCTCATTTTGAGTTTAACAACTTACTTTCTGATCATCAATATGAATTTTGATATTCTTGTTCTACTGCTGATTTGTTAAACATAATACCTGATAGATTTTATCATCTATTAGATAGATGTGAAGAGGATAAGGCTATCGCTCTCTACATTTCTAAAACTTTTCATTAAGTTTAGCATGCTGGTCTTTTCCATAAGCTCTTTTCTTACGGTTTATCAGATAATATTTGAATTGTTTTTGAATTCCATATGATTGTAGTTTTAATAATATTCTTTTATGCACAACTGAGTCAAAAGCTTTAGCAAAGTCTAGAAACTTCATTGCTAAATTATCCTCAAGTGCTTGAGTTATTATGTATAAAATTTCAAGTAAATTTGTGCAAAAACTATTTGATGATGCAAAACCATGTTGAGAGTCTGAGAGTTGTTCTTAGTCAAATGCTTCATTAGTGTTTCTTATTATGCATTTCATTTCTTTGCACACTATTGATTTGAGCAATACTACTCTATAATAAATAGCAAAATAGCTGACCAGCTGAAATTTTCAGGTTAAGTATCTTTTCTTGATCTTGTATACCATTTGCATTAAGTTTATGCAAATGATATATAAGTAATATATAAGAAGAAAGGAAAAAATATATAAAAAACAATACAATAAGATTTTTCTTAATTCTTAATTATTATCATTATTATTAAAATTTTATAACAGTTTAGTATGTTTACAAATATTTTTATCCTTAAATTATTTTTTTAGAAGATAACAAAAGTACCCACCAATTTTAAAGGAATAAAAGACATCACAAATTAATGATCACACTTTTCAACTTTACCACTAAATTAAATGTAACTTTAAAGTACATACACATAAAATAGAATGTCAATGAAAAGAAATTTACTTACAAAAAAATTAAATAGAAACATTTGTATATATATATATATATATATATATATATATATATATATATATATATATATATATATATATATATATATATATATATATATATATATATATATATATATATATATATATATATATATATATATATATATATATATTATATATATATATATATATTATATATATATATATATATATATATATATATATATATATATATATATATATATATATATATATATATATATATATATATATATATTATATATATATATATATATACATATATATATATATATATATATATATATATATATATATATATATATATATATATATATATACATATATATATATATATATATATATATATATATATATATATATATATATATATATATATATATATATATATATATATATATATATATATATGTCATTAAAAGCTAAATAAAAACTAACTGATATTGATGAAACTGACTTTTTTATAATTATGTTATACCACACATCTTTTAAAATCTAATCTTTTAAATGCAAAAAAATATAGCAATAGTCATTATCTCATTCTACGCATAGATTCATAAATTGATATTATTATATATGGCTTTTTGATATATGGCGAATGTTTCAACTAACGATAAAATTATCCCTTAAATGTATCAACGATATAATTACGATAAAATTATCTAACGATAAAATTATCGAACTCTATATATAAGTTTAATAATTACCAGCAGAGCCGTGGCTCGGCTACCCCTCACCTTCAATTGAGGGGGAAGGGTGCCAATATTATGGGTGTATTTGGAAATTTTTGGAACTTTTTTTTTTTTTTTGGTAATCCCTAGTAGAAAAGATTTTAAGTTCTTGTGGCCCTAATGGCTGGTTTTAGATAGGAGGGGGGTTTCCTACCCATTAGCCATAGCAATGATTATCAGTTAATTAATTTTTTTAAATTTTCATTTGAACTTCATGCCATATTTTGTTATAAAATACTCTTATATCCGAAGATATAAAGTCATAATCCGAATTCATAAAGATTAATCCAAAGTAGCGTCAGTTATTGACAAACATTTCTGAGTACTACTACTACTCAAGCACTGAGTTGGTGATAGCTGGATTTGAAATCGTATCGCACAACAGTCTTGGGTTTTGATATTTTGTTTGACGCACTAACCAACCAGTGGCGGATTTAGTATAGGGCGTGGGGGGGCTAGATGCTCTCCCCCCCCCCTACGCCCCCCTAGAACGGTCTAGCAACGCCCCCTAAAACAATTAATATATATATATATATATATATATATATATATATATATATATATATATATATATATATATATATATATATATATATATAAGATTAAATTACTGAAGGCAACCCCGGTCGCCCCTATTTATTGACTTGGCCCCCCCGCGACGCTAAACCTCAATCCGCCACTGTAACCAACTGGATAACTTAGTAATACTGAGCTATCCATTATTTAAAAATATTGTTGCTGAGCTATCCATTATTTAAAAATATTGTTGCTGTATCCAGCAATATAATTTTTAAAATTATTTTTTCCTTTTTTTTTTTGATATTCATAAATAAATTATCAAACTCTAGAAAAATGGCGCAAAACTGGCTAAATTTTTTGTTTTGTTTTGTTTAGTAATAGTAATAATATATATTAAATCTTTTTAGGTTGTATGACAAATTATAAAACAAAAACGAAATCTATAAATGATACAAAAATATAAGCTCTAGTTAAAGAAAGCTTTCATTATTTTATAGCAAATCTGTTTATGTCAAAAATGAGAAAATTAGAAAAATATATTACTTTCGTTTAATTAAAGTTTAAGTTTATAAAAAACAATCTCTAAAAATGCAGTATTTGTAGTCACAAAAACACGAATAAATTAATAAACGTGCAGCCCATTTCCAGTAAAAGATGTACTATTTGCCGCTATAGAAAAAAAATTATTATCAATTCTGTTCTTAAACGCATTAATCGACAGATAAAGAGCGCCTTGCTATCACTCGGCAAGTTATTCCATTAAAAATAAAGTTTGTGTAGAGATTATAACGAGCATTGTTATATGTGAATTCAGACACAAAAATGTTGGTAAAAAATGGTAAAAGTACCCACTATTGATTGTTTAAAAATGAGACGTCTTTTTATATAAATGACAATTTATATGAATTTTTTCCAAAAGTGTCTTATAATTTTGTTGCACTAAAAAAATAGTGTTTTTTTAAAAAAAATGCGAGTTAGGTTTAAAATAATTTTTTTTTAATGTTGTTTAGTCTTGTTATCCTTTTGCTCTCATTTACTATAAAAAATAGTTTTAAATATAAATTTATAGTAGATTTTTATAAATATATTATGGGTTGTCTTATCATTATGTCGCGCAGTGTAGTAATTTTGTCATAGTACTTATTATTAATGTTCTTTGACAATTGATATATTTAGTTAATTAGTTACACTTAGTGAATGCACGTTTAAGGGAAATATATTCAAGGCCGTCCCGAAGAGGTCTTCAATGGGAGGGGGTATGTACTTTTTTGCCAACTAGAGATACCAAAAAAAAAAAAGGTCCGTAATATTTGCAATTTGCCAACTATAGTTCAAAACTTGCTCAATGTGCTCAATGACAGCTTTGGGGGGGGGGGGTAGGATACCCCTACACCCCTTTTTTTGGGACGGCCCTGAATATACTTTTTTTGTGTGGTTGTTTCAATTGCATTATTTATAAAATATATTGTTAACCATGAACTTTTCTATCACCACTTTATTTTATTGGCTTAGCAAAAAAATAGTTATAAGTAGTTATGACTAACCCAAACCAGTTTTCCCCTATTGACTAACTAGTTGCGTACTTATTTTAAATCTTTTTAACTTATAGACGAAATTATAGACCTTATTAAATTATAGACGAAATCCAACATGAAAAAAAAAGTTAGATTTCTGCATAAATCCAACGTTGGATCAACGTCATTTCATTTTTTAAAGTCAATATATTATTTGATATGATAAAGTACATAGTAAACATTTGGTGTCACACTACATTGAGCCAAATTTTTTGAAGCATTCAATTCTCTTAGCAAGTTTATCATTATTATCATTTAAATTTAAGCCAAAACTAGTAATTTGAAACTTTAAAAGGTGTTTATAAAACCAAACATCATTTGGTACAACGAAAAAATGTTTCACAACATTAAAAAAATAATTTATTTCATTTTTTTTGAAAAAGGTTTTATTAGTGTATTCATTTCTTAAATAAACGAGCTGGGTAGTTTGTAACTTATTAATTTTTGAAAGATATTTTTAAACATATTAGATTTTATAGGTTCCTATTATATTAGTGACTTAAAAAGTTTATAGACTTATTAAAAGCTTGAACTCCAGTTTACATGAAAGACCAAAGCTATATAAATTTTTTTTATGGAGTAAACTTCACACTGAGTGCTAGTATGAAACTGGACTACACAAAAAGTATTATTTAATGTTTTATCACATGAAACAACATATACACAAAGTCATACTGATTTTAAGACAATATTTGCGTTAGAATTGTTGTGTTGTTATTTTCTGAAAAATTCTCAGAGATGTAGTGCTTTGTTTTTGAAATCTTTTGAGTCAGTAGTCATTTACTGAGTGGTTAACAAATATCTTAGTGGTGATGATTTTTTGTAATGCCAAGGCAAACATTTAAGAAGCTACCCTCTCCATCGATATTATATTGATATAATTCTTCTGAAATGTCTGCAAAAATTTTCCCAGGGTCCACAAACCAATCAGATTTATTGATATTTTTTGATCAACATTGTAAATAGTAATGCCTATAAAAAAAGCCTGATAATTGTCTCCCAATCATTTTGAACTTTAATTTAGAGTTTGGCTCTACAATTTGTTTACAATTTGTAAACTGGAAACTTAGTTGATGGTCGATGCCATCTTAATAATTTTAGAACTTAACAAATCGTTACCATTATTAGGCTGAAATTGAATAAGATATTGGGTTTTAATACAAAGTTTTTTCAGTGCTACCGATCACTTCATTCAGTAAAAAAACTCCATTCAGTAAAAAAAAAAGTAGTTATAATTTGAAAAAAGAGTTTAAATTACCTACTTTTCTCAGCTATTATATAACATAGTTGAAATTTTGTTGGTTTTATGATTTTAAAAAAACAAACAAGTTTTTTGAGCTTTAACTTTAACATTAACTTTAACATCAAATTTTACATCAAATTTAACATCAAATTTAACACAAATAACAACAACAACAAAAATTTGCATTTTTGTATTCGAAGAACGCTTAAAACTTTTTTTTTTGTCTATATTCATGAAACGTTGAAAAATTTACATAATTTGATCTGTCTGAAATGCTGAGATTAGTCTGGAACCTATCATTATGCAGAAAATAAAACAACTTTGATGTTTTTGTTTTTTTTTATAAGATTTTGTGGGATACATTCTTTTTTTATTCACTATTTATTAATACAGTTAAAGTTAATTGAAATTATAGGCATGCAAGAATTTATATTATTCAAAATTAAAAAGTTCTTCTTTATTAATATTATTACGTTTTGCAATAATTAAAATTTTACAAATTTTTGGATTATTTAGATATGATGGGGCGTTATTCAAATTTTGGCACCAGGCGTCACGGCGCCATAATTTGAATAACGCCCTTTATATAAATTAAAATTTATTTTAAAGGAAGACTTAAAAGTTATTTTTAAAATAACTTTTATGCCCTATGGATTTTTCCAAATCATTTTTTGTTGACTTTTTTAACAAATATAAATGTAAAGTTTACAAAAAATATCATAAAAATTATTTTTCTGAAGTACAGTAAAAATTACCTACATTCGTTTTTTAAAATAGAGGATACTTCAACTACTTGCTTTTTTTTTGTTGTTTAACAACAAAGTAAATCTTTTTATCAGGCTGTTGAAAAATTAAACTTGCTATTCACTGATAATTAATTAATTACAGTCAATAAAGAATACTAAATTCTTTATAAATGAAGTGTTTGAAGCCTTTATAAATAAAGAAGTATGAAGCAACACACTTGGTTTAAACTTCGTCCAGTCATGATAAATGGCAAAAAAAAAAATTCACGCAATATATTGAAGAATCGCAAGCTGATGTTGCGTTAATATTAGAAGAAACGTTTCAGTTTTGGAATTTAAGAGAAAAGAGAGTTTAAAATGTAGATGGAGGAGAATGTTCCAAGAAGTCTGATTCAATAATTTGTGGAAAACACACCGGCTGTTTATTAGCATTTAATGCTAACAACTGAGAAAGCTGTGTCGTTTTGGCTGATTAGCTGCAAAAGGATTACAATACTAAATAACATTAAAAAAAGTTTATTTTAAACCTAACTCGCATTTTACTAAAAATTGTTATTTTAGTGCGACAAAACTATAAGACACTTTCGGAAAAAAATTCATATAAATTGTCATTTATATAAAAAGACGTCTCAATTTTAAACAACCAATAGTGGGTACTTTCACCATTTTTTTTGAATCACTTCAATCATTCTAGAAGGAAAAGAATCATACAACTTTTTTATTTACGAAATGTCAATTGCATCTCATGAAGATGTGATGGATGATTTCAAGTCAGTCAGTGAACTATATTGTTCACCACCTTCAAACACTATATGTGACAGCTGTGCCCAAGCATTCTCAATAATTTTCAGATCTGGCAATCTAGCTGGCCACTTCAATGTTTCAATTTTACTTCTGTTGAAATATTCTTTTACTATTTTAGCTGTATGAAGGCTAGTATTATCTTGCTGAAAAACAAAATTTTAACCACCTATGACAGATACTTCACGTCTTAAAAATTCTAGAACAATCAAAAGATGATCCTTAGCCTTCATTTTTCCGTCAATAAAATGAATTTTTGATTTATCATGATAATCGCACACCAAATCATTACACTCCTCTCCCCTATTTTACGTTGTTGCTGTGTTACTAACTGTGAAAAATATTAATTCCATATATCCGGTCCATCAAGACAAAATCGTTTTTTGGCAGAAAATACTACTTCTCGCCACTCTTCTTTCCATGTTACTTGGTCCTTTTGCAAAAGTTATTTGATTGTTTATGTGATTTGTTATCAAAGGTGGCTTTCGCTGGAAAGGTGAAAAGCATTATAAATAACTCTCTGAACTGTACGTAAACTGTAGCAATCACAATTAATAAATATTCTTAATTGCCTACAACAGTTGTAGGCAATTAAGAATATTTATTTGATGTAAACACTACAGATACTATACTCTATAAATAATAAAATGTTAATAAAATGCGAGTTGCGATAAAATAAATTTGTTAAAATGTGGTTTAGTGATGTAAATCTTTTGCTTTCATTTACAATAAAAATTAGTTTTTCGTAAAGTTAAAAAATTAGTTTTTCGTATAGTAAAGTTTTATATATCTTTTTGGAGTGATGTCGCGCAGTTTATTCATTAAAAAAAAAAAAAGCATTCGGCAAATTATTAAATATCCCATGTGTTTTTGCTCATGTACACAAATACTGGCATTTTTTCAATTTTTGAAAACAATTCTCACAGCTTTAGTGTTCTCTTTATGTTTTTTTTTCGTAAAGGGTTATTCTTTATTACTGATATGTTTGATACTTAAAAGATTAACAATTTTTTTGTGGTTGTAATTTAAAAAACATAAAATATAACTGAATATTTATGAGTGAATGTGGATTACCTTGAATTTTATTTTAAACAAACTCAGAAATACATTTACAACCAAGTAATAAAGGGTTGTAATTGTATTATATATTAAAAGTTATTAATCATAATGAAAAATAGCAAAAATTAATTCTTAGCATAAAAAGTATAAAATATAAAATTTTATACTTTTTATGCTAAGATTTAATTTACTTAGTATTAATTTTCACTTTTTAATAAAAAGTGAAAATTAATACTAAGTAAGAATTAATTTTAACTTTCATACTTTTCATGCTAATTTAATGACTGTATTACAGTTTGTTAAATTAGTCATTCAGAAATTAGACTCATCAAGTCTAATAGCAAATTGAAAATAACCTCAATAAGTCTAAGATGACTGTAAATTACAGACTGTTACACTGTAATACAGTGTAAAGTATTTTGTTATAGTCTGCAGCAAAATATGTTACAGATGTACTAGACTTATTGAGTCAATCTATATTATATCTAAAACACTTAGATATTTTAGACTGGCCTCATTGATGAGGTCATATTGAAACAGTCATCGTGGCTTATGCTCATATATTGACTGAGTGTATAGGTTTGTGCATAATTGTACATTTTTCCAGGAAAAGTTGTTTTTTTTTTGAAAAAAAAAAAAGTTTTTTTTATTATTTGATAGACTGCCTGTTCTAACCTATAAGATAGTCTAACCTATATAGATAGACTAACCTGTTCTAATCTATAAGATATATATATATATATATATATATATATATATATATATATATATATATATATATATATATATATATATATATATATGTATATATATATATATATATATATATACATATATATATATATATATATATATATATATATACATATATATATATATATATATATATATATATATATATATATATATATATATATATATATATATATATGTATATATATATATGTGTATATATATATATATATATATATATATATATGTATATATACAACGGCTATTCTAGGAAAAAAAACGGGCGGCAGTACCCTCCAGTCCCAGACAAAATATTGTCCAATATCAGCATTTTTTCGCGAAAAAAAAACAATAATTGCCTTAAAAATTGTAAAAGAAAAAAACAGTCCTTATTTTTAAATTTGGGTGGCGCCCAAATTGGCGCCTAAATATGGTCGACACTGTCAAAATCAATCTAGGATAGCACCTGATATATATATATATATATATATATATATATATATATATATATATATATATATATATATATATATATATATATATATATATATATATATATATATATATATATATATATATATATATATATATATATATATATATATATATATATATATATATATATATATATACACATATATATACTGAAATTATTTTATTTCAGTATATGCATTAATGTTTCAAAATTGAACTTTATATTTAAAAAGTGTTTCCACTTTTGCAAGTTAAACACTTAATGAGCACAGTTCCTAAAATGTAGTAATCATTTTCACAATCAGTATCAACGTAACATTAATTTCATATTAGTATTATTTCTGAATACAACTATAAAATATTTTGTTGAGTGCTCAAGTTATATTGATTACATTGTTGGTGTATACTTACACTACTAAGCGCTCTACAAAAACTTACACTAACCTTGCTTTAACTAATTAATTTTTGTTCAAGTAATGTTCCAATTTTAATGCTTAAAATTGTGAGAATTGAACTTTGAGATAAGGTACCCAAATTTTGCTTTTATATCATATTAAAGTTTTATTAAGAGAATATGAATATTCATTTGATTTATTATTCATGTTATTTATTATTGGATAATAACGCAAATATGTAGTTTTTTTATTTAGTATGTATGTTTAGTATTTTTTTTTTTAATTGATCAAATGGATTGATTTGTTTTATAAAGTAGAGAAAAATGTTGAGTAGTATGACAAAAAATTAAATGAGAAAATCATAGAAAAATAGTGGAAAAGTTATCTTTTTTAAAAATGTTAATTTAAAAAAATCTTTTTTTATAGTTTAGGTTTGTATATAAAATTTTTTTAAAAATAATTATGTTTATAAATAAATGAAACTCATGCTGACGTACTAAGTCATGCTGACATACATAAGAAAGTTTTACGAATTTCCGTTTTTAATTTACATATAGTAATGAGCAGATAAGTTCAAAAAACAATAATAAAAATACTACTCAAATGGCAACAGAACAGGCAGACCCAAAAGATATTTTATTTCCAACAAAAAAGACTTTCAGAGTGAAAGACCAACTTAAAGATAATTACATTTCAACCAACGAAACTATAGATAGTCATGATCCAAGAGGTAAAATAATTTATACTTTTAATTTGCTAACTTTTATATAAATATAAAAACACACAATATGCTTATAATGATTAAATGAAACCCACTGTATTGTAGTAATGTTATTTTGTTATTGTTGCTGACAAGCTTATATATATTTATGAAATGCATTTTGAAAATGGCAAACTTATAAATAATTAAAATTAAACCAACATAAAAAAAAAGAATTTTTAAACTTTAAGTAGTCTTTAACAGTACTCAAATATCTTTTTAATTTAGTCTAATGGAATATAACTCAGAATATCATATGACAAAAGTTCATCCATGAAGTAGTTATATTCTTAGACCGGTATTGATGAACTGAGTGAATGTTTCTAAACTAACATGTACTTTATTAAATTGATTTTATATCTATTAGGTATCAATATTTATGATTATGCTGTGGCTAGAGCTTATGAAATAAAAAATCTTCAAACTGCATTAAAAGAAGCTGACCATTTAAAACATCAGAGAATTTTTCAGCAACTTCCAAGGCATATGAGAAGACGAGCTGCTAGCTATGATATTAGAAGATTACCACATCGTCTTAGAGAAAAAGCGCAGGTAAAAAAAGTGTGACAAAAATGCAGTCCTACCAATCAAGAACACCTTAAGTGCAGAAGTTGCGTTTTTTAAATATATTTGAATATAGCTGTCAAACAGGTTGATCGATTGATTGACATCCGTATCACCCTAGTATCTATATCAAAAGTGATTTTCTACATAGACTCTTTTACAGCTTGTGGTCTTGACAGCATACCTGTCATAGTCTTGCATAAGTGTTCTCCGCAGCTGTCGCTTATGTTTCCAAAACTGTTCAATAAGTCTTGTTTTCTAGCATGCTGGAAAGCGGCATCTGTTATCCCTTTTTTCAAAATTCTGGAGAGCGATCTGATTCGTCTAACTACTGTCCCATTAGTCTTCTTCTTATCATAAGTATGGTTTTTGAATCTTTAATTAACAAACACTTAATCTCTCACCTTGAATCTAATAACTTAGTTTCTGATCATCAATATGGGTTTCGATCTTCTTGTTCTACAGCTGATTTGCTAACAGTAATAACTGATAGGTTTTATCGTGCATTAGATAGAGGTGGAGAGGTTAAAGCCATCACTCTTGACATTTCTAAAGCTTTTGATAAAGTTTGGCATGCTGGACATCTCCATACGCTTTCTTCTTATGGTGTATCTGGTAACATCTTTAAGATTATTGAATCCTTTCTTTCCAATTGTAGTATAAAGGTTGTTCTTGATGGACAGCACTGTTCTTCTTATTCTACAACTTCAGGGGTCACTTCCTCAAGGTTCAATCCTTGGCTCTATACTTTTTAACTTATATCAATGATCTTCCAGATATTCTCAAATCTAAGGTGGCATTGTTTGCTGATGATACTACCATTTATTCTTGTCTTGATATGTCATAATGATGAGCCAAACACTCTCTAATTGTTTGGAGGCAGCGTTTGAACTTAAAAAGGATCTCACTTCTGCTACAGCATGGGGCCCACAGTGGCTAGTGAACTTTAATTCAGATAAAACCCAATTTTTTTTAGTCAGTTGTTATTGCAATAAGTTAGATTTTCCTATATTTATGAACAATAATGAACTCGACAAGTCATTTATTCTTTATCTTTTAAGGTTAACCCTTACTTCTGATCTTTCTTGAAAATCATATATCAAAATTAGCATCTGCTAAGGTTGCATGTCTTTACCATGCTTGACACTTGCTTACTCCGGATTCTATTCTTTATCTCTATAAATCTTAAATCCGTCCTTGTATAGAATACTTTTGCAATATCGGGGCGGATCTTCTAATGATGCCCTTTTTTTTTTAGACAAGGTGCAAAAAAGCATCGTAAGCATAGTTGAGCCTGCTCCTGCGGCCTACTTGCAACCATTATCACATCGTTGTAATGTTGGTTCTCTTTCTCTTTTCTACAAATACTATAATGGGCACTGCTCTAAAGAGTTAGCGTCTCTTGTGCCATCTACTAAAATTCATTCTCGTGTTACTCGTCATTCAATTAAATCTTATTATTTTTCTGTGACTGATCCTAAGTGTTCCAAAGACTCTTATTTGTCTCCTTTTTTTTCTCAAACAACAGTTCTTTGGAATTCACTTCTTTCATCTTGCTTTCCTGATTCATATAATTTGCAATCTTTTAAGTTATCTGTCAATCGTTATCTTGCTATACAAACTTCATCTTTTCTCTTCCAGTAACTTCCAACACTAATTAGTGGTTGCTTGCGTCTTTGTTGAAAGCAAAGATGTTGAAAAAAAAAATGATTCTTAATAAAATTAAATGTCTAAAAAATGACTCTACTCAAAAATTATGCTAGTGCCAGTGCATTTTTTTTGAAAAATATACAAACATAAAAACCTATTTACACATTTACATAATATTAAACTGTTATAGCCAAATATTTCAAAACCTTTCAGCACTTAGGATGTTCTTGATTACCAATACAGAATACAGAGTGCACAATGTAAAGAACACTTTTATTTAATGCTCCTTTTTATAAATATTTTTGTTAACTTTTTTTTTTAATTTATTATAATAGATTTAAGAAATAAAATGATTAGTTCTTATTTCATCTGAAAATTGCGATCTCTAGCTATTTGTTTGATTAAGTTCGTTATTTGTATTTTTTATTTAAATACAACTGTCAAGGGGTATTCTATACCGTTTGCAACGGTGTCGATCATATTTGGGTTGTAATTAAGGGGAAGATTTCTTTAGATTAGTTTTGGAGAGGTAATCCTTGGAGTTTTGCATTGTAAAAAGCTTTTTCTATAAATTTATCAGGTTGTTCACATTCTTTTAGCCATGTTTTTAGTTCTGCTAATCATTGTTTTTGTAATCAAATGTGAAAACAATTATTCTTTTAGCCAGGTTAAAAGGAATGTTCTTTTTTATGTGATAAGGGTGATGACTTGTATAATTTAGGTAATCATAAATATTGGTTTCTTTATAATAAATGTCTGTTTTTATTTTATTGATTTTTTCAAGAATAATAGATGTCTAAAAAGTTAATCATATTGTAAGTGACCATCTTTTATAAATTTTTTTGCCATCGTCTGTTGTAAAACTGATTGAATTATCTTTTATTTCAGTTAAAGAATTCACAAACTTTACTATTTCCACTTGTTTTGGCCAGAAAATAAAGAAATCTTCCCTTTAATTACAACTTTTTATAGCTACTTGAACTGTCAACCTTTTATAACTGAAACTAATCTTTTACTTAATCTATCTTTAAATGAAAGAGTAAAAGAAGTTTTTTCAAATATATCCAGTCATTAATTGTATTTAAACAACCACCCAATCTGTTAAGAATACTAACCTCTGCAAAGTTCCATTTAATTGAAAAAGAAATAGGATTATTCAAATGTAAAGATAATCCTTGTAATATATGCAAATTCTACCTTCAAGAAGTTAAAACATTTACAACATTAAATGGTTCCATATGGATAGGGTTGCCATTCTCCTCTTTTTTCCGTAGGAGAGCGCAGTGAAAACTTCAATTTTAATTAGTTTAGTGCTGCGTTCTCCTACGGAAAAAAGAGGAGAATGGCAACCCTACATATGGAACATAAAGAGTCATATAACTTGCAATAGTAAAAATATAATATACTATTTAAAATGTCTATCTTGCAATATGAAAACTACATACACCGGAAAAACTAATAATTTAAGACTTTGTACAAATGGACATATTTCTAGTTGTAGAATCGGACAATTAACAGATAGATTTGATAACCATGTTTATAATTGCCAATGTGCACATAATACAATTATAGAATCTTTTTTTCAAACTTTTTGTTTTTTTGGAACTCAAAAATGAAAAAAATTTAATTTCCTATGAAAAACATCTCCACAAACAAAAACATGACACTTTTAATTATATATATTTTTAAATTTTTATTTTATTTCTATTTTTATTTATACATATTTAAATTTATTATTTTATTATAAAAATATATTATTTATATTAATTTTTGTTATTTTTATTTATTTATTTTATATTATATTTCATTTTGAACTTCATCTATTTACAAAAACGATTAATTACAGTAATATAACCAAATTTAAACCTTGCTGTAACCCTAACCCTAGGCCTGACCTTGATGCCTGGCCTAACCAAACCCTCAGTCGATGTAGCAGCACTCCCTTGCGAGTCAGGCTATTCGTCAGTCTATGTATGTACTTTTCGTTCTCTATAAAAGTTTCTTATTAGTACATTTTTTTGCAAAAAAAATCATGCTTACGGAAACAAAAAATTAACGGGTACACTAAAATGTCTCCAATAGCGCTAATGTCCCTGTAAGTGCTCCTTTTTTTGCAAAATCTGTCCCCGTAAGTGCTAAACTAGGCATATGTTTATATATACCAGTAATAATAGTAATTTTTTGGTAGACCGTGCTCAATACAAAAGTAGAGCAAACATATATTATACTAGAATAATAATTAAGTACAATTAAATTTGTAGCATTACTCAGAGTTTTACGCTTTATGCGATTATAAGGCGTTACAAAAACCATAACAACAAAAAAAATTATATGCAAAAATGAAATGCAGTGTTAGCGTAGATGACGTTAAAGTTGCAGATAACAAATTTGTTTTTGTGACAACATTTCGATATTAATTCATTTCGTTTATTAAATACTTTCAAAGATAAGGTAATGATATGATATTTTTCTGTTAAACAAAGGTTTAATGACTTTCCAGGTTTCAATAAATAAATTTTATTATATATATATATATATATATATATATATATATATATATATATATATATATATATATAAAATAAAATTTATTTATTGAAACCTGGAATAATTATTGAAACCTATCAATAAATAAATTTTATTATATATATATATATATATATATATATATATATATATATATATATATATATATATATATATATATATATATATATATATATATATATATATATATATATATATATATATATATATATATATATATATGTATATATATATATATATATATATATATATATATATACATATATATATATATATATATATATATATATATATATATATATATATATATATATATATATATATATATATATATATATATATATATATATATATATATAATAAAATTTATTTATTGAAAGAAAATCATATTGATAAGAAATGTTGAAGTTTTTAAAAATATATTTTTAAAAACTTTAAAGCTTTAAAGATAAAAATTTATCAAAGTAAATTTTTATAAAGCTTGTCTATTAAAATTATAAATTTTTAATTAAATATTTATATTTTTTAGATAAATTATTGAAATAAAAATAATATTAAACTAATTATATCTTTAATTTATGACTTGATAATTTTGCATAGATAAAATAATTGTGAAAAAAACAACAACAACAAAAACAAAAAACATAAACAAACAGCAATTAAATGTTTTAGTTAATGAAGTTTTTAATTTAGTTTTTATAATGAGTTCATGAGGATTAAAGTGAACACTATTTTTGAATTTTAAATATATATTTTTTCAGTTTAGTTTTATTATTATTATAGTTATAATATCTCTAAAAGAAAATGATTTTATAATAATACCTTATTATTTGTTTTTAATATATTTAAAAATTGCACTTGACCAAAATTTGAAAAATATTAATACTAGAAACCAAAGTTGTAAATTAAAGTTCCAAAAAGTTAGAATTCTGTAGAAAATGTTTTATTTTATGCGTGCAAATATTTACAATCAACCTACAATTTTGTAACAGCATCGTTTTTTGATAACTAATTTGATCAGTTAACAACTATAGCTTGTATAAACATATTAAAATTCATAATTAATTATATTCCAATATTTCTTGGGTTTTTTAACACTTTTGTGAATTTTTATGTATATAGAATTTTAGAAATCTAGAATTTTTTTTTTTATAAGAAAATATAAGAAATTTATTTACAGATATGTAAATATGTAATTTTAAAATTATGTAATCATGTCAATTTAAATTTAGAATTATGTAAATGTAAAATTATTTAAACATAAAAAATGCTATTTATATAACTCTATCTACAAACCTCTTAAAATGTAAATGTTTGTAAATCAAGTAGAGTTTGTAGATCACATGTGTGTGTGTATATATATATATATATATATATATATATATATATATATATATATATATATATATATATATATATATATATATATATATATATATATATATATATATATATTTGCCTTAATTGATTTTTTTTTTTGTATCTAAAAAATTGTCATGGTTGGAAAAATAGCATTTTTTTTGCTTTAAACAATCTCAGTTTTATTTCATCGTGGGTATAATTTATAAAAAATATTTAAATGCCGCATAATTTTATATATTTGTTTCAAATTACATTTTTTAAATAAGTTTTTTTTTTTGAAAATAATCCTTTGTAAAAAAGGAAATCAAATTTTTAAAATTTCTCCCAAATTTAAAAGTTTATTATGTGTGTGTTTTTAAAATTTCTCCCGAATTTAAAAGTTTATTATGTGTGTGTTTTAATTGTGAAGATTTAACTAGCTGCTCAAAATTCAATTTTGTGTTTTTTTTAATTTAAAAACAATTTTTAAACTAAAAACAGATTTTTATACAAACAGGTACTAAACCATTGATAAACAGCAGTCTACTCAATAGGTACTAATACCCGAGCAGATAAAAATGGTGCTAATACTGGACCCACCTAAAATGTGTTAAAGTTGATTTTATTATAGAATAAGATATTGCTAATTCTATAATAAATTATATATAATTGAAATCTATAAAGTTTTTCTTAACTTTGTTTGTCTAGGTAAAAAAAACAACCACCTAAGCGGTTTACATTTACAATAAGTATTTTATATATATGTTAATAAATGTACAGAAAAATTTTTATTACTTTTTTTAGAATTTCATATTTATGAACTTTTTTGTTGAGAATTTATTGTATTTTGAGAATTTTGTTTTGAGAATTTTGTTGAGAATTTATTGTATTTTGAGAATTATTATTGTTGAGAATTTATTGTACTTTGCTTTTAGTATTGGTATTGCTCTTTTCCTTTGTTGCAGACAATATAGAAAGTTATTACAAAAAAAGTCTAACAGATAAAGTTATAATGTATTTAACATACCTAGCTCTGATGACTTATTTTACCAGTCGTTTTTGCTAGTAACATAGTAACAGCACAATAATTTTGAAAGCTAGAATTTCTATTATTATTATAAAGCATTATTGTTAAATATTTTATTGTAGTTATAATTTATGTTATTGAATAATTTTTTTTTTTGAATGATGCAATGTTTCCTTAAATTAAAAGTTGTTAAACATTAAGTTAAAATAAGAAATTGAAATATAGAAAATCATAATAAAAAAATAATAATAAAGATGATAGTTAAAATAGAGTTAAAGAATTTTAATTTCTTAGGCTGAAAATGTCACCAAACCAAAACAAAAGACAAGAAAGTATAAAAGAAAACCAAAAAATCTTCTTGAGGAATATACCAGAAGAAGCCGAGAAAATTCATGGCTTGAGACTCACATATGGCATGCAAAAAGATTTAAAATGGTTGATATGTGGGGTTATAGAGTTGCTTTGAAACCATGTGACAAAGGTTACAGAGCAGCTTATAGAGCTTCACAGAAGTCTGCAATATTACAGGTAGAAAATATATATTAAATATGAAATCAAATGTAGTCATTTGCCAATATAAATCTAAATAATGTTATAGTTTGAAACCAGTTTATAAAGTTCATTTTACTTTAAAGTTAAGTAATACATTTAAATTAAGGATAAAACTTACACAGAAGTTATTGAAATAAAGATCAGTTATGAAAAGTTGACAGAAATTTGGTCTCATATCACTCCTCCTGAGACTGGTGAGTTTTCCTATAAACTAGTTTTAAATATATTAATCAAGTATTTAATAAAAGTTAAAACAATTTACACTTTTTGTGTTTATGTTTTTGTGTTTACCATTATGTTTATATTTACTAACTTATCATTAATAATGTTTATTAAAACTGCAGACTTATGATTATGATTGTTGAAGTTATAAAATCAATTGTAATTATCAGTATCTAAATGACATCCAGTGTACAACTATTGCAAATCATTAGACATATTTTTAAAGAATATGCTACAAAATAATATAAAAAACATCATAAATAGGATACATACAACGTGGAAAATAATGGGCGGTCAACGGTCAATGACCGCCCGAAATGACTGAAATTGCTGTTTTGACCTCCCAAAAAGAATTCTAGCCGGTCAAGGTTGACCGGTTGAAAAATCAGAGTTAGAAAAATCAGAAAAACCTTTTGTTAAACCCAATTTTAAATTTTTTAGATTTCATAATATCGTAAAACTTTGATATAGCGTCTAAAACAATTTTATTGCTTATATGCTACTTTTTAAAGTAGAAATAATTAATAAAATTGCTTTTATTCACTTTGTTGGAACGAAGCGAATTAAAATTCGCATCGCTGCAACGTGAAATTCGTCATCATTTATTAATATTCGCTAATGCTTGGCGTAAACTATATGTATTAATTTTTTTGCTTCAGTTATTGAGATCAATTTTATTGAGTGTTTTTTTCCTTAACTGATTTATGTTCTTATTTTATTATTATTTTAATAATAATATAATATACAATAATTGATGAATATAGCTAAGCACTAAATTTATTTTCGCTCTCTCTATATCTTTTTATTTATTTTTCTCATAATTTTTTGTTGCAAAATGCATTTAACAAATGACTTTTTTTTTCTTCTTATTTTATTTACATGTCATGAAGAATAATTACTGAAATAAAAATTTTAACAAAGAAAAAAAAAACTTGACCACCCAAAAAAAAAATTTAACCGTCAGTTTTATGTATTAGCCGGTCAATTTGACCGCTCGCTTTTGATTTCTTATTTTTCACGTTGTACATATCATATGAGCATATTGTTTTGACCTACTAACTTGGAGCTTAACTTATGAAAATCATCAAATCTTTAGCTAGAGAGTTTGTTATTTAAGAGCTAGAGAGTTTGTTATTTAATAATTTGAATATTATATATTATTAAATTTATTGATTATTGTAAGTAACTTTTTACAACTGGATGACTGCAACAAAGAATTAATACAAAGAATTTAGTGTTGGAAAGATAAAACGGAAGCAAAAGGGTATAGGATACAGGGTATAGGAGCTGGAGGATTTTTCTAATGGACTTTATGGCTCTGATGTTAAGTGTTGCTGATGAACTAGATCTTCTTTATTTCATTATTTTTTTGGCAAATTTTTGATAACATTTTAAATAATAAAATGGACAATGAGTGCTTCCTGCAATTGTAACTGTATATTTGATGTTATATTTTATGATCTTTAATAGTTTTAAAAAGTAACATCAAATATACAGTTACGCTTTCAGGAAACACTCATTGTCATCAATTGATGATGATGAAACAATCTTTTCATTGAAATTAAAAGAATTCTCCGCAACAATTTTTTTTTCCACTAGCAACTTGGCTCTTTGTATACATAAATATGCATTCATACTTTTTTTTTTTGTAAACTAATTAGATACGCCAATAATTCTACTTAAATGATTCCACTTAAATGATTCCACTTAAATGATCCCACTTAAATTAAAAAGATGGTACAAAGTTTGGCACTCTGATCAGAATTTGTTTATGGAATTCAAAAACATTGTTGATTTGTAATTTACGGAATAAAATATTAAAGAGTTTTTATTGTTTATGTCTTTATCAATGGTCTTCTGTAAAATAAACAAACATTAAATCTAATAGAAAAAAAAATGGCATAAAGGAATTGAAACACATGGTAAGTTAAAAATTTGTAAAATGGTTAGAACTCATGACTGCACTATGAAACTGAACGATACAGTTAGATAGTTATATGCATTATTTTATTAATATAGAGCATATAAAGTAATAAAATGTATACAAATTCAATTTTTTAGTGCAAAATTTTCGCACCTTATGTTCAAAATAAAAGTAACATTTTTTTTTCAGACTGTTTATTGCATTGTAAAGATTTTGTGGCGGGAAAAAAATATATCAAGCAGATTTTATATTATCCAGATTCTTATCCAAAGAACTGCATTGGTCCAATTTATATTATTAATGGTAAAAATCTATCTGATGGTAGAAACTTATTTTTTCTTGTCTCTCACCCAGAAATATCAAAGAGTGTTGTTGATATTTTTCAAATATTATCAAATACAGAATCAAAAAAAATGAACGAGAAAGAAGCGAATACAATTGATGTTTTCTGTCATAGACTTGATTTTGTTATATTCTCATTAAATGGTCCACTAAGTAGTTCAATTGTGCAAGAAGCACTAAATTTAGATAAAGTTCATTGGAACTCTGGAAATCAATCAGTCACAAATGTTTTGGTTGATGATCCAAGGTTTCATATACCATACAAAAAACAGAGTCCATTCCACATAAGCCATCAAACAGGTATGAAATTTAAAAATAGATGTCTATATTTATTTATTTAACAAGGTTTTTATTTTTATTTATTTATTTTTTTCTAAGCTGGTTTTATTTTTATAATAAATTTTAATTTTTATACTATACAAAATTTTTTTTTATTGTGATCTCAGAAAAAGGAGGTGAAATACAGGAGCACTCTGATCTCTGGAATGAAACAAATAGAGATGATATAAAAAAAAAGAAGATATCTGATGATGCAATTAACAAAATGAGGAGTGAACTATTGGTTTCTGGAAGTGCTTTACCTATTGAAAGTACAATTATTAACAATTTGTTTTTATTACTTATGCTTTTTACTTATATAGGGCTAATTCATACTTTATTGATTTTTGAAATTCATTTTGCTTCCAAAATAAATTTTTGCTTAGTAACTTTGGTTCAACTTTACTTTTAGGATAACCGCTGGCTTTTTTTTTTTTTACATATTCACTTTCCACAGCCTGGGAGCCACTCATTTTGAGCAGCTTTTCCTTAAAATAAGACATTTAGGGGAGATAAATAAAGCAAGAGCAATTAAAAAAATTTACAAACAGGAAGCTTGATAAACAAGGAAGATTCTTAATAAAACAAGTTGAAAATGTTACTTCTAAAGTGTTTTAGAGTTTGATTCAAATTTTCACATTTAAAACTGGTGGCTTACAACTATTTCATATTATCACACACTGGTAACTATACAGTATATTGCCACAGCTTGATTTTTATTTTAATGTCTGTATACTTGAGTGGAATGACAAGAAATATTAAAATCAACTGTGTTGCTTCTACATGCTGTCTATTTCAATTTTTTTTTTTTTTTTTTTTTTGTATTCTGCTAAAGTTCATTTTTTTCCTGCTAAAGTTCATTCCTTGTATACCAGTACATTTATACCTACCTACATCTATATTCTGTATACTGCTACATCTCAACCTCGTATACTACTACATCTGTTCCATATATATCACTACATCTACATTCTGAACCCATTGCAAATACAATTAGAAACATCATCTTTAGAAGTATAATCAGCATATGATTTGAAGTATAAAAAATAAACAGGAAAAGAAAAAACAAAGAATAATGAAAAAAAAAGATTGCTGCACCATGCCAAACCCTCAGTCAAAGTAGCAGCAGTTACTTGCTGCAACAGGCTATAGAATAGTTAAATTATTTAATGAAACTCCTGGCAGCAGGCTTCAGTGTGGCAGAGATGTTATCTAAACACACATTTATAATAAAAAACATTTACACCACAATCATGAAATAATTTTTTATGATAAAAAAACAGATAGTTGAATAAATTTTTATCTACTTTTTGTTTTCAAAATTTTAAATTTATTTTATTATATCTAGATTAAATTTATTTTAAATATAATTAAATTTAAATCTATTTTATTAATATTTTTAAAAATTTAAAACGCATCATTTTGAGTTTTTTTTTTTACTGTTAAGATTTCTAAACTATGTCAAAGAAAATTCTTTTAAATAAATTTAATTCAAGTTATTTTTTTAAAGGGTTGCCACTATAATTTTTAAAGTTTTTCCCTGAGTTTTCCCTGAGTATTCCCTGAGTAAAAAACGTTTTTCCCTAAGTTGAACTCTTTAAGTTCCCTAAGTTTTCCCTGACTTTTCTATATTTTTTCATGTTCATCAACAAGATTATTATTTTCCTTAATTAAACACAATCTTTATATTTGACAAACTAAAACTTTTACAAAAACATCCAAATCTTACAAACTAATTATTAAATGTATTAGCAAAAAATATTTTTGAAAAAAAAAAATATTGTACAAAAATTCAAAGAAAAATTATTTTACCTGAGTTTTCCCTGAATTTTATGAAAATTTTAGAAAATTCCTGAGTTTTCCAGGTTTTCCCTGGGATTCATGCTATTTTCAGGTATTCCAGGTTTTCCAGGTTGAGTGGCAACCCTATTTTATGTTCGCTTTACATTCAACTGTTTTGTTTATTTATTTTTGAATACAAATCAATAATTTTTTTTTATCCCGTTACTAAAGTGCTAATATACAAAATGTAATAATGCACTTATAACTGTATATAAATCTAATCAAGCCTGTAGGAAAAATTATTTTAGATAATAAATTTTTTTAGTAAGTTTTATGTAACAAATTTATAAAAATATAGTTTTATTAGTTTTGAAATTGTTTTTTAGAAAAGGTTTTTCCATTATCATTAATTTTTTAGATTCTATTTTTTAATTTCTCTATACCTATCATTCACTAATATTTATGGCCTTTGAAGTAACTTTTCTTCTGTTTATTGTTGTTGTTGGTGACTTTAATGCTCACACCAATAAATGGCTTGGTTCTAGTGTCAATGACTCTACAGGCCTTAAAGCCCACAGCTTTTGCGTTTCTCAATTTCTAACATAAATAGTCAACTTTCCAACTCGCTTTCCAGATAACCCAAATCAATTACCTTCTTTACTTGACTTAGGTCTTATTTCTGATCCTAGTCAGTGCTCAGTCCCAGTCCACATTCATCGTTAGGTGAATCTGATCAGGATTTGATCTCTCTAAAACTATTATCTCATTCTTCTTCATCATATAAATCCCCCTATCATTGTACCTCTTACAACTACCTTAAAGCTGACTAGGACTCTTTCCCTGATTTTCTTTGTGATGGCCCATGGGTAGAAATCTTTCATCTTCTTGCTGACAAATGTGTTTCTTACATAACTTTGTCGAATTAGGCTGGCATGGAATCTTTTATTCCAGATCGATGATTCCAGGTCAAGCCTCACTCTTCTCCATAGTTTTCCTCACATTGTGCTCCTGCGATTTCCAATTGAAACAGTTACTTCCATATCTATCAGCAAAACAATTATCCAGAAAACAGACGTCTGTTTATTACTGCTAAAAATCATTGTAAAATGGTTTTGTCTAATGCCAAAGCCCGCTATTCTCAGGTCATAAAATCTTGTATTTCATCACAAAAATTAGGCTCTTGTGACTTCTGGAGAATCTTTAATAGCATCAAAAGTAAGGGCAAATCTGTTATTCCACCTCTCTTGTATGGTTCAGACTTCACCTAAAGACAAAGCTGAATTGTTTGCTAAGAACTTTTCATCAATATCATCTCTTGATTCCACTAGTTGCGTTCTAACTGATTTAGTTGTCAAACAGATTGATCCATTGGTTGATATTTGTATCACTCCAGCTTCTGTATCTAAACTGATTTCCTGCTTAGACTCTTCTACAGCTTGCGGCCCGGACAACATACCTGTTATAGTCTTTCAGAAGTGTTCTCCGGAGCTGTCATCTATACTTTCAAAACTATTTAACAAGTGCTTATCAGAGTCTTGTTTTTCAGCCTGCTCAAAAACATCTTCAATTGAATCTTCGATCACAAATACCTCTAATTAGACACATAGTCATTTTAGCTTAAAAACTTATAATTTTAAAAGTTTACAAAGATTGTTATTTTTCCTATATTTTGCTGTAATATCTTGTGTTGTTATGAATTGATTATTTGGTTCAAATTTGCAAACTAAGTTTTATGATTGGTTTTGAAAGTAAGTTTTGAGTTATCCACATTAAGAGATATTATGAAATAAGGTCTACTTCTAAGAAAAGATAAAAACTGTAAAGCAAAGGCTAAACTTGAAGATACATGGAAAAAAGTTTTCTTTAAAGTGAAATCATAATGGTTGAAAGCGAATCCTGTAATTCCATTTGTGGTGGGTGAAGTTGATATAAATAGAAAAATTAAAGTATGGAAAAAATCTACAGATATTATCAACTTTAAGCGTAATTTAAGATCATTTTTAAGTTTAACTCTACTCTGGAAAAGCTATTTGATATTGAGAAGTGTGATGTTATTTCTTGTGAAGAGGCAAGTTAAAATACTTGTGTTTTCAAAACTTATATTTATTGTTAATAAGAGAAATTAAAATACCCATAATAGATCTTTGGTTTATAAAATCTCAAAAAGAAATATTTGGTACAAAAAGTAGTATGCAAATGGGTGCTTAAGATTTTAAAAAAACCAACAGAAAAGATAAAAATATTAAAATAAATAAACTGGAAAAAGAAGTCCCAAATAGAATACATATCTTTTCATCATCAAGAAAATAAAATCAAAGAGCCAATCAATAATACTGTGAATTCTGATGACGAAAGATTTTGTTTCTGATGTTGATTTTAAGTATAAAAGCTGACAAATTTGATAAAGTCATTAAATATGACAAAAGTTACATCAGCATCATTAAGATACGTGTAATAGAGCAACTGCTGCAATTTTAACACTAACTCTCAAAGCAACTATAGAGACAAGCTTTCTTAAAAAGAATATTAATGACAATGAAATAATGACAGATCATAAGAAAATTTAATACTCTAAATTGAAGCTGATGAAACAATTAAAATCTATAAATGATAATATTGTAAAAAAAAGATGGAGTTCAATGTATAATGATTGATCAGAGAAGGATGAAACAAAAATTTCTTTGACATGAGAAGTTGTAAAATTTCACCACAGACTTGTACAAAAAGACTGTTATTCAAATCCTGCAGAGCCAGAATTGAATAACAGAATTGGCTTATATCATTAACATCTTATAAATTATAAAGAAAGCAGATCTGAGTCTATTATCCCCAGAAAAGCACATAGCAGAACATATATACAAATTGGTTAAAGAACAAAGGATATTTCAATTTTAGTTACTGTTGGCTGTGATTCTACCAATGTTAAAACACGTAAATGATTGATAATAAATACAGGTATATGTTTGATGACAATACAGCTATATGTTTGATGACAAGTGCCATGCATACATTTTAACAATTACTTTTTAGGCTGGAAAAGAGGTTTTATTTATTTTTTAGGAAAAAAACTTCAAACCAACTTTATTTGGATGGTTTGTGCCTTGCACACAAATAAACCCCTTTGAGGCACCTAATGTCAGTCATTGATGCCATCAATAACTGCCATTAGGTGCCCATATAACATTAGGTTTCCATCATTAGACAAGAATTTTTAACAAAATGTTTTTTTTTCAATATTAGAAAACTTGTCCCCTATTAATAATCTCCACAATCGCCAATAATCTCCACTAACGTTGTTCAAGATATAGATATTGAAATTAATTTATTAGGTATTGATAAAGATACTTTAAAAAATTATATATGTATAATTAAGATTATTAGGCAAATACATACAAATGACTAATTAATGATCAATTGAAAAAGGCAACAAACTATAAACAATAATAATTTTTTATGTTTTTAATTGGCTGTATTCAGAGGGGAGGGGGGGGGAGGGGAGGTTTCTTGAGGAACCTTTTACAACTGTTTTGCTACATTACAGTCATATTGTTGTTATGCAAAATATTACAGCAAAATATATATCAAAAATTGCAATTTTTGTTAACTTTTGAAATTAATATAGAGTCATTTTAGTTAAAAAATGTTATAACTAAAATAGTTATAACATTTTTTAACTAATAGACTCTATAGGTGTCTAAATAACTCAAAAATTGCTTTTTTTTTTTACCCGAAACCTCAAATTTTGAGGTCAAAACTTGAAAATCTAAAAAAATATAAGTTTTTTATTTCTTATTTCACATTACTTTTATATTAGGACCAACGCATTTAAAATTCATATGCCTAAGCATTTACTGTAAAAAGTTAAAAAATGACCCGTCCTATTTCACTTGCATTTATTGTTTCTTGAGGGAGGTTATTCTACATGTTAATTGACCTTTAGGTAAAAAAATTGTACTTTGCTGTGTTGGAAAAACCTCTATGGTAGATCTTTTGGTCACGTCCTCGTGTCCGTGAGGTATTTTCTGTAATTGCTTTTTCGTTTGGGTGATGCCAATCAGTTTTGTGTATACCTTTATAAAATTTAAAAAACTGAATTATGTCGTCACGATGACACCTCACTTCTAATGGTGTTGATTTAAAAATATCAAGTATTTCTTTGTATTTTTGTTAAATTTTAAGTTCTTTAGATCCCCTTAGATTTTTAATTCTTATTGCTCTCCTTTGAACTTTATTTATTTATTGAACTCTATTGTTACATCCTTATTATAGTATGGAATCCAGACTGAAGCAACATATTCTAAATGGGGAAAAAACAGAGATGTATACAATAAAATCGTTAAATTTATGCTGAGGTTTCTAAAACTGTTTTATTAGACCAAGTTTTTTGTTGGCTTTTCTGATTGTCATTTTAATGTACTGTTCCCATTTTAAATTGTTCCTATTTTAAATCTGATATAATCACCCCAAGATTAATTTTTTTTTGTTGATAAAATTATGCAAGCACCTGTAGCTATTTTAAGTCACTTTATAATTTTATCTAGAGTTTTTTTTTCCATTGTACATAATGTTACTGTTTTATAGGTTGAAATTTATGAGCCAATAATGCATGATGCTTTTTTGATTCATACTGTAATAGTGGTTTGATGTAGTAGTTGATTCATACTGTAGTAGTGGTTTGATGTAGTAGTTGGTTCATACTGTAGTAGTGGTTTCATTTAGTTGATTCATACTGTAGTAGTGGTGTAGTGGAAGAGCTTCATAAACAGGGAAGTTCTAAGTTCAATCCCTACCACATCCCTGTTAGTATTGCACTAATATTTTTTTTTCTCCATGCAGCAGCATTGTTTTTCATAGTTCATGTTTTGGAATTAAGTGTTGAGAGAGGGTTGTAACCACAAAAATATAGCCTCCTCCACTGTAGTGTAGTGGCCTTCTCAGCCTTAGGGAGGTGAATAACATTAAAAAAACAACTATCAACAAAATCAAAAAAAAAAATGACAAAATCTCTTAAAAAAATTTCATTATCTACTTGGCTCATAATTTTTGAAATCAATTTAGCGTCATTTGCATATAATTTAAATATAATAAAAACTGATTTTAAATTTAAAATATAAATATATTTAAAGTATAACAAAAAAAAGGGCCATAGTACATACTCTTAAAGTACCTAAAAAATTACTTTTTTTCCATTTGGATATATTATATCTAATTACTATTCTATGTTCTTGATTATTTAAAAATGCTTTGTACCAATTTAATACCTAATTCCAAATGCCTCTAATTTAATACATAGCCCTTCATGAAAAACGCTGTTAAATGCTTTAGTAAAGTCTATAAATGTTAATAGAGTCCTTTTTTTATATTTCTTGTGTAATAAAATCTAGCAACTTCAACAAATTAGTTACACAACAAAATCCAGTTGTTGTTTCAAAATCAGATCAATGTCAATAAGATATTTTTTAAAAACCTTTTGTATAATGCTCTCCATGGTGTTGATGTGATTGAAATAGGTCTATAATTGTTCGAACATAGTTCATCTTATAGTTCATTTTTTAAACAGTGGTGTCACATTTGCTCTTGACCAACAATGCGACAATTCTCAAGTTTCATATGAGCAATTGAATATTATTAATAGCAGTACGGCTAAACTTCTATAGCATTTGTTTAAGACTTTTGGATGTATGTTATCAGCTGTTCATTTATTTAACAACAGTTTAATTTATCTAGTTTTGCTTCTTTAT